GCCAACGTCCTCATCGGCCGTAGCGGCACTGGATTTATTGGGAAGATATGTGCGCACCAGTGACAATGGCGAGAGCCACATGGCACTACAGGTGCTTGAAAAATGCCTTGTGCTCGTCGGGCGTGAGAAGATGCGCCAGGCAACACTGCATGATTTTTTCAAGCGAAAGAATTAAAATAAAACTATGTGCAGTTCACCACTACTCCTTATTTCTCATTTTTTCACGTTTCTCAGCTCTTGCGTTTCCCGGCTCTACGTTGTTTTTTTTTAACGGTCCCGTGAAAAACGTATCAGCGGGGTTCTACTGTATTTTGTTTTTTATTGCCGTGTTTACTTGTTGTCAAGCAAAATTGCACACTTTTCACATTTTTATACATTTCGAAGTAGTTTGGTCGTGCTACAACTTATAATTTTCTGGAAAGAGCATTTTATTATGCATAATTTGGTAAGCTGCAATCTGTGCTTGAGTACTTTGCTAACTGGCAAAATAATTTTTCTTGAGACATATGACAAATACCCATTTTCTCACGCTAATGAAAGAGTTAATACTCTCCCAGAAAAATTCTACTCGGCAGATACCTTCATCACTGCGAAAAACTGCAGTTATAGGATAAGTACTGCAGCCAAAAAACTCTTCATTCAGGTGTTTAAAAACGTGTAATTGTGAAGTGCTAAGTGGCAGACTGCCGACATGCAGTGACGGTGGCTTCTTCACGGTGCTGCCTCATTCCCCTCCTCCACGCTGCTTTGCTCATTTGTACCTTTCATTCTTTTTTTTAATTGTTTGATTGCCGCCACTGTCGGTCAACCACACACTGACCCAAAGGCAGGTGGCAATGCTGGTCATCTAAATCTTTTAACGGCTTTAAAAAAAGTTAGAAGTAGTTAAGCTCTGCTTTGCCAGGATATCTGTAGCGTGACCTATGGACAGACAGGCAGAGAGACAGACAGACAGACAGACAGACAGACGGATGCATAGGCTGACGACGGATGCACAGACAAACAAACCGGCTAGCGAGCGAGCTCACGCAATTCCAGCCCACAAGTGACATGTCACTCTAGGAGCTTCCAGGCTTTCTGCAGCGCGCCATGTGACATCGCTGTTCCCCGGACATGCACAGCAGGGCTTTCGATAAGCCACATGAAAGTGCTCAACATCGGCCAGTGCCGCTTATGATACAAAAGACTTCTGTGTTGCAAGCACATGGCACGATTTTGCTGAGCATCACAAATCCTTCATCCATAGCACAGTACACAGATGCACACTTCCAGACAAACATTGATTGGGGGAACACTGCATAGCTAACAATGTTGAGGAAAGAATGGTTGCTGTCGCTCTTCTAGTCCGTCACAGTTCAGTACAAAACCTGTGAAAATGCCTATGCCTCCACGACACATAACCGTAGTAACACTGCCGCTGGGGACTTTTCTCCTTGAGCGCATTCATTTTCGGGTAGCTCCGCCCATCGCACGGAACACTTCTAGTTGGCATTTGCTTTGCTCTGGCTGCACAGTTCTGCCTACCATGAGGTCATTGGAACCTTCCTGGACAAATTTGTTCTGGAAAGTATCTGGCAGGTTTCTGGCTATCAGACACCAAAAAAAATCGCAGCATATCCACGGAGTGAATGATGATGAGTGGGGCGAAGCGTTCGTCAGCCCGTCCGTGCTTTCGCCCATCTGCGCGACCATCTGTGCGCCCATCTATGCATTCGTCCGTCTGTCCGTGAGTTCGCCCATCCATCTTTTAGTCTGTCTGTCAGTCTGTCCGTCCTTGCGTCCATCTAGTGAACACTCCAAGTACTGCCATCTCGCATCTTGCATCTCCTGTGGCATATACCTGCTCTAGAAGAAGTATGTGCCACCGGTGCTACCCACTACAACTACATACATCACAGGATGTACAGACCCACGCCTGAAGGAGCTTCACCCCTAAAAAGATGCTGCTCGCCGTCATCATCGTGAGGACTTCACGGATCAATTGTGGGTCTTTGGAGACTTCCCTTTCAGATGCCATTAACCCCTGCAGTTATATCTTAAATGGACCTTCAAACAGTTTTAACAAATTTGTAAAAACTCATTTGGCCAATAGACAAAGTCTTAAAGGTAATGTAGAGACCGATTTGAGCTCTCTGCGTAAACTGGATAATTTATTCTCTGCAGATCGGTGCAGATCGCTGCAACTCGACCAAACGCATTTTAACTCGCCTATTCACAGAGCAACTTGCTGTAGCCACTTGTCGTCGTGGCTGCAGGTCTAATTGGCTGTCATGGGCTGTAGAATGTGTGGAATTGACATCGGCTGGTGGAGTTGTGGCGCCTGTGTGGAGCAGATACGAACCACTCCGCGATCTTCATCTCTGCTGCCAGATGGCATGCGCGCTTCCGGGTGCACTGTGTCATGGCTTCTGAGATTGCATGCAGCCCGTCAGTGTGCAATCTTCTAGACGAGTAAAAGGTCTAGACGGGTAAAAGGCCAAATCGTCAAGCACGCTCATGAAAGTTCTGCGATCGCCAGCGATACCAGCATGCTTCATGAGTTGGGAAGGCCAGGCAGAGGTGAGAAGGAGGGTATGTTATAGTAATTGTCCATAGCGGCTTTGGTAGACGGAGTGTCACTAAATTTGTGGTGCGAATGGTTTGATGATGCTCTTGCCTATACGCTGACAAAACTTCAAAAAAACCATTTCAGGGTCCCTCTAAAGCCCGTTCCGCCATGCGAGATGGTGCGATTACGAGTGGGGGCAAATGTACAGCTGCATGTCACAAGTAAAGACACAAAGCAAACTGATAAACATGCATGTGTGACAGCCGCAAGCTGCTACAGCTTTTGGGGACGCTTCTCACTTTCGCATATCATATAGTGCTGCGCATGTTGAGTTGAGCTTGTTCAGACATTAACGAGTGGCAGTTTTTTTCACAGACGGGGTGAATCGCGCATGATCATATCTCAAATGTGTCTGATCAAGCATATCACTTCCACTTTATGGCAAACCTGGTCCCATATCTTCAATTGGCAATGCAAAAAGAATGGATGCTCACGTGGCGCAGTTTTCTTTGCTGCCACGGCAGTAGTGTTCATTTTTATTTGGTAGGGGTTTCGAGGCTGTTCGGCCCAGAACCCCGCAAGGAAGACGCAGAGCCAGAACAGAACACTGGTTGCCTAAGCATTCGATCTTGTGTTATTCGTCTTTTCTCGAGACTTCAACACACGTGATCACGACAGCTAGTTGCCATTTTGTTGAAACTGTAACTAGCTGGCTGACTTCTGGCTGCCAGTGAGATACCAGAAGTTCAAGAATCGAACAGTCCCCTCTATGTTTTTCGTAAATAGATGTTTTGGCCCTGTCATGTCAACATGGGCTTGTCAGTCTAAACTTTTACTGGACTCAGTTATTAATTTTCTCGTATCGTACATTTATTTTTTTTTTCGAAACATATCAACCAGATTGTACTATTTAAAGTCGGTTAATAGTCGTGAAGGTGTTGTCTTCAGCACGAGCCTTCACCTTGTTTTTCCCCTAATATTGACAATCACATCTTTCACTTTATGAGAAATATTTGCCGTAGTAAAAAAATGTGCAAATGATATACATTTTAGAAGCGATTTATATTGAAGGGTCTGTTATGCTAATGAGAATTTTGATGGAAATAAAATTCAGTTGCAGTCTGATGTCAGACTTATCTTCGGCAGGGTGTGCGAATGCAAGAATATGCATGGATAGCTTTGTGTGCTGGCTTATCAACATCCACTTTTCCAGCTAATTTGCCCAAGATTCTTGGTGTAAACAGAAACCTGCAAACACAGGTGCAGTACTGTGTTCACTCAACATGACAGCTCTGATAGGCCTGGCAGTGACTTGAGACTGAAGGATGACATGCTGGTCAATTTTTCAAATGACAGTGCATTGGTAGTGTGCCTGCGATTTTATCTGCAGTCTCGAAGAGTGCTGCTTTTAGGAATAAATTAATCAAGCCATTGTGCAACAAACACGTGGACATTTAATAAGAACTTTAATATAATGTCAACCTCTTCAGCCAAATATTAATGCCAAATCACCTCATCTAATGCAAGATGCACACACAAAGAATATATAACACATATAAACAACATAGCAACATGTGCAGCGTACTGCAAATGAATTCTGGGTCACCGATGTTTGGCTCACCCTAGGAGTCTGAGCGAAGGACACACGGTATTGCACCAACAGACGTGCATGTGTGACAGCAGGGTTGGAGAGCCGGTTGTCGCCAACCACGCTGAGCCACGAGAAGAGGAAGAGCTCATGCCATCTTAAGGCATCTGGGTAGTACACGGATAGGTCTGCTTCTTCGTTCTTTTGGCTCTGTGTGGCCTGAATCCACTTACCGCAAGACAGAGTTAAGCAAAGTTTAGCACTTACACTTTTCCACTTTAACCTTTTTAAAAAGGCTCACGAATTCGAATGAGCTCACGAAGTTCACAACGGTAGATTCTTTTATTTAAAGCAAAACCAAAACACAGCAGTGAACAAAGCCAGAAGTGCCTGTGAAGCCCACAAGCACAAAGAGAAGGCTCTTCATGTACTACTTATCATTCCCATAGTTTCTGAACAATCGCAGTGCTAGAGCTCCCTCTATTTAATTTTTGAAAACTCTATGCTTGGTCCCATCTGGCAGCGTCTCCTCGGGAGAACAGTCCCAGCTATCGCCTGGAAGTGATTAAGCTAGCCACGACATGCAGGTGCCATGAGGTGAAAATTATTTAACAGGGGGTGATCCCACCCCTACAACAGGGAACACTGCATTTTATGTTCTCGTCAATTTCTACTTCTGGTCACATATCCCCGAAGTTTCATTTAAAAAAGCCTTCCACCTCTTTTTTTTTTTCAAATGTGCTCATCTGTTCGTGTTGAGGTTCAATTCACTGTTCAAGTCATGATTGTGTTCTGGTGGCACTGTGGTCGAGTAGTACACCCACAGTCATGGAACTGAATCCGTATTTTGTTTTCTCTTTGCAGACATCTCCAGTTTACCCACAGGATCTCATCTCAAGCGAAGTGACTAAGGATGTAAATGTGAATGGTCGTAGTTTACTGCAGCAGCAACGATACGTGTGGAACTGAGGCTGTACGCAGTTAGCTTGCAATAACAAGCAGCCTAAAAGTTACGGCTTGTCGTCCTGAGTTCTTGTTCAGACATGAACAATGAGTGGCATCTGAAAATTTGTCATGACAAAAGCGTGTTTCACATGCCATGTGTATCAAGGCACACTAAGGCGCCTCTGGCTGCATCTATGAAAGCTGCAAATGGTTAAAATTGCATCCTGAAAAGCTGCAAGAGAACAGGTTATAATTGGACTGTTCATTCATAGAGAAACCAGAGGATTGCCTTTTACCAGTACGTAGTGCCGATTGCCTGGGACACTGAAAGAGTGACATGTAGAATGTCAAATATTTTGAAGCAGCTGGGGCTCCACCATATACTGGGCACATTATGAGCAACTTTTTATTTTCCTGGTGCTTCGATCACTCATAATGCTTGTGTTGCGTCTGCAGTTTATAACCTCTAGATGCTTCTGTTCTGTACTGCTAAAGTTTTCTCTGCTGTATTCTTTGTTGTAACCTATTCTGGTTATTCTGTCAGTAAGCACATGTGAGTATTCTATTGGTGCAAAAGTAGAGAGAAAGTCCATTTCATAGCATTTCAATTTCACAATGGAAGTTTTTATACTTCAGTCTGAATTAACTAAACTGAAGAGTCTATAGGAGGTATCAGAAAAAGTAGTGCATAAAAATTACTGGCTTGTGCTTAAAGGATGTCAAAACTGAGCACTCCATTGATGGGAAAACAGCCTGTGCTAATGCGGACAGAACAAGAAAATGTAGACCGTCCTCGTCAGTATGCGCTGTTTTTGCCTCGATATGAACAACCTAGTGGCAATTCAAGCTGCACGAAAATGGGTCTTGGCTATTTGGCAAATAAACAACACGACCAAAAAAGCTCACTCATTTTTTATTGTAGTTTTTTTATTGTGATTGTGCAATGAAATATTATCAATTCAAATTACAAAGGGGACGAGAGACTTATGGTCAAGTTTTTTTAATGGGACACTGAAGATGATACAATGACTTGATTTAGATTAATAGACTACAGTGAGGGATCTCTTATTGCCACAAGTTTCGCTGTAATAAGTTCATTATAACAGTAATAAGTTCATTATTAAGTTTCACTTTTAATTTCGCACCAAAATCACCGTGCATAACGTAACAAATTTTAAAATGTTTTTTTTTGTATTATCATTGCATTGGCTTGATAAAATATTCTAAAGCTTCGCATGCTATGTCTATGGCACCAACAGATGACAATGTATTTCACTTTTATCGACTAGAAGCTTCGTAAGACCCAGTAGACATCTTCAATATTGCTGGACACTTTCTAATGCTACCTTATTGTCAAATTTTGTAATGGTGGCATTTTAGGCCAATCAGGGAGGTCGTAGCAGGTCCTCTGGGCCAATCAGCAACAGTCAATGGCTGATAGTGACACTTAGGTCGAACTTAGGTCGTTTTCCCCGCTTTTTCACCTACTGAACTTCCATAATTTTTTACCTTTTATAGTTTATAATGTTTCAAATAAAGTGTGGAATGCAGAAAAGGGAAGTGCATAAAACTGTGTAATAGATGTGAAAATAATAGACTTGAAAATGTCTATATTTCTGCTAACCCTAGTAAATTGCATATAACTTTTATATAATAATAATATTGAGATTTAAGCAAGATAATTGCATTTCTCATACCACCAAAAAAATCTAGGTAGAACTTCATGTAGATCTCAACACCAGAGGTACCCGATAGAGGAGGGGCACATGGAAAGAAATCCCAAAATCTGTTTTTGAGAAACACCAGTTCAAAGAAACATAAGCAGCAAGCACAGGTCTGAGTTGACTAGCGGAACTTATATGGGAGGAGCCTTGCAGTGGGTGTGGGCAGGCTCATGATGATAAAGTAGTGGAAATGTTTTGTTAAAGAGTTGCCTTGCTTTTAGCCCGACATGCTACTCCGGGTGAAGTTAGTAGGGTAATAATGATGAGAAGGAGAAAGGAGATGAGTGGCATCCATGTGTGTGGCAGGCAGCTTTTGCAGCCTGTAATGTCCCTAAGGAATTGAAGAGCTGCCCTAGGTGTGGTGGTGGGAAGGGATTGAGGGGTGTGCAGCCACGATAAAGGTGGTGAACGAATGCGAAACTGTGGAGGAAATGATGGAGCAGATCAGAAAAAATGCACACGACTTTTCTTTTGTTTGTAATTTACTTCTTAAAGTGTCCCTCACGAGGTCAAGTAAGATGTTATAATTAGGCACTGAAAAGTGTTGCGTTCCACTGAAGAGCGTTGTACCCAAGGTGTCTACCAACCTGTACAAGTCGGGGAATATCCGAAAAACCTAACCAGGTCATGGAAACTGACAGATGTTCTGCGCGACCGTCACAAAAATGAGCATTGCCATTGATCAAAGCTTATAAAGTATCTCTCAGCTGGAGGAGGCTACCGCCAGCCTATTAGAGCAAATGAAAGGCGACCTTAAAAAAGAACGGGAAGGACGGACCGAGCTTGAGCAGCGGGTAAAGGAACTAATGGCGCTTTGCCCCGGCCCCGAGCGGTGTGAGATGGAAGGCGTGGGTAGGGGAGAAGGGGACTGGCGGGAAGGAACAGGGGAGAAGGGAAGTCAGGGGGCCGCAGTGTCTGGTCACAGCATGGAGGCTCCGAGAACATACAGTTCTGTGGCGCGGCAGTATTCAAGCAGGGTAGGAACACAGGACACATAGTAGAGAAAGAAACAGGTGAAGCAAATAGGGGTGCCATCGCAAACAGAAAGCCTGCGATTGGAGCGTAAAAGGGTCCTAGTGGTGGGGAACTCTAACGTGGCCAGGGTTAGGGATGGCGTCTTCACGATAGTGAAGGAAGATGGGAGAGTGAGGGTGGAGGTCCAGTCAGGGAAGAGCATGGTGCATGCACTGGCGAAACCTCAGGAGGTTGTAGAGAACAGCATCGAGGGCGAAAATCTCATTACACGCATACACAAAAACAGCAATAAGGTTTGTACGCAGTCGCACAACCTCGTAAAGTAGGGATTCAATTGCACTACGTGCACAATCTCCGAGGACTGCCTTGGCCGCCGTAGCGAAAAGGCGCCATCAGGAACTAACTCGGAACCTTTAGTGACAGAGGATAAAATGCATTAACTCCGAGACGCCTCTGGGAGTGTGCATGTGACAATATGCACAGTCCCAGAGGTCTGCGGGCAGTCTTGTAAGATTGAAAGGAGGGTGGTGGAGGCCAGCTGTGTGATGAAGGGTATGAGCCGGCAACTCGGATACAGCATAATGGAAGGGAACGAAGAGGTGTACGAGCCCGGCGCTCGCCCCTTTGCACCAGATGGCATTCATTACAGTGGTGCGACGGGCAGGAGTTTTGGTAATAAGATGCGTTGTCAAGCCACAGCTTCTTTAGGGGACCCAGAGCCCTGAGGCCAACAGTGTAGCCAAAGACCGTTATAAAGGGGCACAAATATCAAAGCCACATGGGGTCCGTGGGAGAAGAAATCCACGTAAGCACAAAAGCCAAGCTAAGTCAGACATAGGCTATATTAACACTGCAGGGGGGCAGGAATAGGTTAAATTGGGAAGAGATAGAAGAGCAGTTAAGGCAAGAGGAACTGATGGTATATGGGGATGTGTAGACACATCTTCGGGACATGGAGCAACCCCCTTGCAATCCGGACTACGGGTGGGAATATTGTAATAGAACCGAAGGCAGCAGAAAGGGAGGTGGGATTGGGGCATTCATTCATAAAAGCACAGACTGGCAAAGGGTCAAGCAGGAGTGCAAGGAACTATTGATGGCTAAAAGGGAAAGTGGCAGGGCAAATGACACTCCTTGGTTTCGTATACTTGTCAACGGGAGCAAAGGCCAGCGAGGAAAACCAGGCAATGGTAGAGTGTATATCAAATGACATTGAGGAGTTAGGGGGAGAGTGCGAGATAATTATACTAGGAGATATGAATGCGCACATAGAAGATATAGATGTGTATACCGACCCGACAGGCAAAATGACCATGGATATGTGTGAAAGGCTTGATTTGATCATTTGCAACAGTACCGAGAAGTGTGAAGGGCAAATAACATGGGAGGTAGGAAGGCTACAGTCGTCGATAGATTACACACTGTGTTTACATAGAATGTATGATAGGCTTAGGGGAATGCACATAGATGAAGGTGGCTTCAGAAGTCTGGGTAGTGATCACAAACGTATCAAGCTAAGTAGGGTTGAGAGCTGGGCTAGTTGGTGAGACATCATTTAACCATATGGTGATTAGTTGCGAGTGTAGCGAGTGTCGTGTTTTCTTGTCCTCTTCGTCCCCGTAAATTTGCGCTACTACACCATATGGTTAAATGATGTATCAAGCTAAGTTTTGGAAGAGCAGTGAAAGTTGGAAGGAGACAAGATGAGCAACTACAGGAAAAATTTTATTCAGAAAAGCAAATAGATATAGCTACTAAAAAATTGAGAAAGTAATCACTGAGGATAATAAAGCAGTATGGACATACACGAATCTAATTAGACTGTTTGAGCTAGAGCTTGATAAGGCACGTGACAAGTCACCCCGGAAAAGAAGACACAAACCCAAGAGTTGGTGGGATGAGGAAGCTAAGAGAGCCTTAGCGAAATGTCAGGAACCTCCAGGGAACATAGGCATTCTAAGCAGCGGGGTGCACCAACAGACAATGTGGAAAAAAAAATGGAAAATATTTCTAAACTGTGGAAGGGAAGCATCCCTTCTGATCAATGGTAAGATTAGTAGAAAGGGGGCTCAGTGACTGGCAGAAGCACATAAAAAGGATAAAAAGGCAGCTACAAAAATTTGGAACCATATAAACTCTCTAAGAAATGAGGCAAGCCTAGAGCAGAGGTTTATAAGTACAGCTTAAGCTGTTAGGCTAGAAGGGAACGAAGCTCTTGAATATAGAAGAACAAGGGTGACAGAAAATTTCAACAAAGAAGTGTCTTGTGGACCTTAATAGACAAAGATGGATTCAGTGGCGTAGTGGCTCCATTTTCACAACGAGAGTAGGAAAGGGTTGAGAAGAGGGTTCCTAGTTGTACATGAACA